GTAGAAAAAAGCAAATCCCATGACAGCAGGAACAGGGAGCAGATTCTGGGAATATCCTTACCTTTCTGCATATCTAGCCCTTGGATAGCAAGGGGTAAAAAAACCCCAGTTAATAATAAGAGGCTTCTTAGCTCTGCTCTAATTTTTTACCTCTTGTAGCCATTCCTGAAACAGTAACTTGTGCAGAAGACATAAATTCAGAGTGCCTGGCTCAGCCACTTGCTCTTTCTCACCACAGTTTGACTTTAGCATGTTGTCTTCAAAGAAGCTTGATCCTGGCTTCCACTGCAAGGGATGGCTGCCCCTTACATCAAACTTCACCCTCTTTGTAGCCATGGTATAGATCTGAGATAGATAGTGATGTCCTGGTTCCAGCAAGCTACTCCTGAATCAGCTTTCTTGTCACCTTCACCAACCCTAAATATCTTGTCCTAAGGATTTTTGTCCTAAAGGGAGAAGGTAGGTTTCCCATCTCCTTTCTGCCAAATTCAGAATCAGGGCCGTGGTGATCACCACGCTGCTGTGCATGCACAGCTGAAGTAGAGAAACAGCAAAAGGAGCAGAAAAAATTACATCAGAGATGCCTGCTCCCACCTACAAAGAAGCCCTGTTCCTTCACCTTGATTAAAGATCCTGTTTAGGGTAATCTGGGACTTCATCATCTCCTGAGAGAATGTCTGTAATCTGGGTTGACAGCAAAAGAAAGTGAGCACCCTCATACAGAGCCTCAGCTACTTACCAAGCCAACTCTGTTCTCTGCCCTCTCCTAGCTCAAATCCATGGCAAATCTTGGGTTTGGTCTGTAAAGTGTTAGTGAATCATTTGTCAGTAACATCAGGATTTTCACATCTTATAGTCCTTCGAGGCTACTCTGTACATACAGGGCACTGTTAGCTAAACAAGGCCAAAGACTCAGCTTGGAACTCTATGACATAAAGCATCCCTAGCCAGAAGTTTCATTTTTGGAATCGCTTGCCAGCAGAGGCAAGAGCGAAATGTTTAATCAAGAGGTTAGAACCTGCAGAATAGCAAATGTTTCCTGTTCACCCTAAACCCTTTATAATTGATGAATTCTTTCAGCCTTTCACATACTTTGATTCCAGGTTCAAATTTTGCTGTTTTATTTCTTGGACTAAGAAGACAAGTGCTTCATTCATAATAAGGTTTATTGACAGGACTAAAAGTGTGCTTCTGTCGGAATGCAGATTATTGGGATCAGCCTGAGTTCCTTTTCCTGTTATCTCTCTTCACATTTGTCCTTCCTCACATCTTCCCTGTGGTGTGCTTGCCAATACGAGCTTAGTTTTTCCCTTTTCATTTGGCACATGGATCCTTTTTCTCAGTCCCTAACTTGCTTTTCTCCAGCCTGTCATCTCCTACTAATTATCCAGTTGTACACATTGCATAACTTAATCATAGTAATACATTGTTTGTATGTGCATGCTTTTCCCCTCCTGTGGGTATTTCCAAGATATGTGAGTTGAAGAACAGCATGGAAGATGGAACTTGTTGGTAGACCACACAAAAACATTTAACAGAAAGAAGACATCTTTCCTTTATTCAGTTGGCAGCTTGTGATCTCTCTCAGAACAAGGTTTAATGCTAATTTATTGCTAATAAAGAAACTGTGGAGTTCTTACACAATTAAAAGGTAAAAATTGTTAGGTCCCAGTATTAGATAGCAAGTCTCTGATCTCAAACAAAGAAACAGGACAGAAGTTGAGTATTGAGTTACTGGAAGTCACTTTGTTCTTCAGACAACATGTTTACTGTGGAACAGTGCTGAAAAATAAGCAAAGACATCTTTAAAAAAACCTCCACCATATTCTTCACTTGCCATTTTTGAAATTAAGCATAGAATCATAAAGTGGCAAATATTAATTTATTATTCAGTAATTTACAAAATTATTTCCATAAATCATTGGAACCACATTGAAATATCTGAAATTGAAATTAAGCATAGAATCATAAAGTGGGAAATATTAATTTATTATTCAGTAATTTACAAAATTATTTTCATAAATAAGTGGAACCACATTGAAAATTGCATGCAGAACTAGAAAGCCAGAGGTAATAATGTATTTCCCTTTTAGTAGTGTTAGTGTAATATTTTGGGACTTGAAATAAAATTATTTTATTAATCCACTCTCCAGAGCACCATATTTGGGATAACCTAAAGGGTTCATACTTCCACAAGGAGAATTTTCAGAAAGATTTTGATGTTTATATCCTTTTGTACCCAGTGGAAACAAGGATATAAGAAGGAATCTGTGTTCCAGATTTCCAGCTTTGCTGCTGCATTTTGAACTAGATTTCACAGGCACTTAAGTCTTGTTGTTAAAGTTTTGCTTCTTCCTACGTATCTGTGTTGGAGTCAAGTCCTAAGACACGTCTGTCTATAAAGAGTGGAGTAGGTTAGTCTCCTCTTTCCAGCCTGTGTGGGAAAATCCAAATGTTTTTATAGGTTAAATGAATTGCAACTGCTGTCTTCTCTATCCAGACTCCAAGTGGTGTTCTCTGAGGATGGAATATTGCAGTATGGTGCAGAGGCCACCACGCCCTTTTCCTTTGAAACACAAGGGGAAGGAAAGCCTTCTGCTCTTGTTTTTCTAAGTAGAAGAAACAGTGCTTGGAGGATAACTCAGAGATATGCTTTTTGAGTGGAGAAAATACATCGCTTTTTTTTTTTTTCTGTTTCCTTTTGCACACTTAGGTGAGCTCAGCCTTTTGCATTTTGTAGGTCTGTTTGGAGGTTTATATGCAGTATGTGTTGTATGTGGAAAGGAGAGGAGCCACCTGGAGACTGTGGGGGCAGGTGCCTAAATTCTGGTGTGAATCTCAATGCTTTGCACTCACAATGAGAGTCACAGCCTCAACCTCTAAAATGAAAATTCAGTAGGTGTTTTGTGATTATAGCATAACCAACCAACGTGGTTAGTCAAGATAAGCTCATACAGTTTTGAATATTAAATCTCAGCTGCACAAAAGGAACTGTTTCTGTGAGATTAGTTGCTTTCCCTGATCCAAGTTTCCACATTCCCTCTGCCATAAAAACCTTTGCCTCTTGTGCTGATGAACGAGATTAATCTTCCAAAACCTTTTGAATACTATCTGTAACACTACAGCATAAAATAAATAAATAAACCTACCACATAGTTCCCTGGTTTCAAACTTTGCAGATTCAGGGTTCACTAAGAAGTCATCTCTCTTTTTCCTTTAAAAGAAGACAACCATATAGAATAATAGAGTTCTCTGTCTAGCATACAAACCCATCTGGAAAGAATTTAGTCTGCAATAATTGTGGGCATTTGATTTAGCTTTAAATCCCTGTAGGTAATTCAAATGTAAATTTATTGGGGTGAGTTTATCCCCAAGCTACCATTGGATCCAATGCTTTAGAGGTGAAATTGGCCCACTGTGATAAAACTACAGCCTGCATTGTTTCTGTTGCATCAGGATATTACTACATGCTGTAGTATCTGCTGTTATAAGCAGACCCTTACTGGAAATAAAGTCAATAGAGACAATACAGACAATCACCTGTATTAAATTTATTTTTCAGACCTTGATAGACTAGTAATTCTTGGATTATGAATATGTTTATATACCAGTATCTAAATCACTCAGACAACACCAGTCTAATTTGTTATTCTGTTATGCTGTACTTATATGAAATAGTCCTTTTGGTCAAGTAAAATTCTCTGCATTTTACATTCTGCTTCAGAAGAAAGTCTAATGTTTCAAGAGGCATTCAGCACATAATGTAAACAATGCCATCTGTCTTTTTCTTTGGAAAATCTTCTTCAAGATAGCCCTGATATGCCTACTGTTTTCAATCACTTAAAAGGCAGTAATCCAATTATATCATCCTCTATGTAGGAACTGCCATTGCTTTCAGTCCACTTCCAAGCCTGACACAAGTAAATCACTTTGATAAGATCCTCTCTTTATTTATTTTTTTCTGAGGAGACTAGCATAAGTAATGATGCCAGTGATAGACCAAGGACAAAATGACCATAATGGACTTTCTGTAGGAAAGGAAAACATGTGCCACTGTGATTTATCATGTTACTTGAAAAATATTTTTCCTTGGAATTTCTGGAACAGGCTCACTGTCTAAGCAAAGGGTGTTAGCAAGTATGAATGGACAAATGGTAAATTCAGACAAAACATTCATCAAGTAGCAGATTTAAACAACTACTGCTACTTAGATTCCTTAAACAGAACGTCAAAGCCATTTTGGAAATGTGCCTAGGTAATTTTCATCTTTGGTATAATGCCACCTACTTACATGGAAATGCGCTTGGAACGTGTAAAGTTGGATCTTCCTTACCAACTACTAAGGCTTATCGTTCAGATATGCCTTCCTTCTATTTAAAAATGGTTTGGGTGACTTCAGTGATTTGTGCTACCAGCGAGGCAGAGGCCTGGCAGACACGTCTGACCTCCCAGAATAGATGTGGCACGAGATCAGTAGTATCTGCAGACTTCCTGCTACAAACTGCCCTCCACTCTGATGCTGAGAGAGCAGAGTCAGAGCTGAGTTGTCTCTGGACACACCTGTCTTTGCCCCTGCAAAAAGGGAAAAGCAGCAAATGAGGTGGTCATGTGCACTGCAAAAGCTTGTTTGAAAGGAGCTGGACCACAGGTGTCTCTTTGAACCCAGACTCATCACTCAGCACAAATAACTGCAGAGTTTGCATTTTCAAATTTATGAAGAGTTCTGGTCTGATATTCACTGTCTGAGACCACATCCAGGATGCACAGTAGGAAGTTCACTCTGCTGAAGAAGCTGGTAAGTGGTGATCCGCAATATTAAAAAATGCAGGCCAAATCTGGCATTTCCAATGTCATGCTATGAGGTAAGTCTTTTGTTAAGTAAGTTTGGAGAGCCTGTGTGAGAAAGCTGTGATCTGGACAGGAAAAGGCCTGTACTTGCCTTAACAAAATAGGATGCTGTTTAGGATGGTATTGATATATTAGGTTCTTTGTTTTTACAGAGAAAGTGTGGAGAGCCTTATCCAAAAGCATTCTTATGCTCGATCCCCCATTCGGACCTATGGAGGAGAAGATGATCTTGGAGATGACAGCCAGGCAACACAAAGCAGAGGTAGGAAAACGTGCTCATGATGCAAACTGTGGTGACTCAGTTATTACTGAGAAAAGCAGGACCACAGGCAGTACCATAGTACTCTAAAGCATTTCTCTGGTGTGTCTCTATGCCATGAAGTCATACAGTGAAGAAGAATACTTGTTACCTTTTGGCTCTTTGGGACATCTGATATGCCCACAGCACTGGCATGGTTCAATTCAGGAGGCAGTTCTAGAGATGATCATATAATCTTTGCCATCAGGAGATAATTAGTTCTGCTTCCTCTTCAAGATGTCTGCAAACCAGGAAACTTCATTACTGTGGTGCTGAGAACAAGTTAACACTCCCCATCTCTTGGCAGGACTTACTAGCTGGGCTCCACACCACTTGTGTAGATGTGCCACTTGCTGTCCCTCCAGCCTTCTGTGAACAGAGGACAGTTCTAACCATCTTCAACCAGCCTGTGGTTAACCCGCTTTTCTTCCTCAGGAAGAAAATTTGGTAGTTCCCTTAAAAAAATGATGTTTGTTATCTTTTAGTTTCTTAAAGGTGTTGTTATTGCTGAAGCAATTACCCCTAAATGCTTTACCAAACAATTTGTCTGTGTTAGCAGTAGCAAAACTAGTAACAAGACAGACTTGATCTTCACGGGGATACTTACTGGAGAAATTGCATCTGTCATAATTAACCACTGGAAATAGATCTTAAACCCTTCCTGTAGGATTGCTGACTAGCATAAACTTGTGTTGCATTATAGTTTGCATTGTTGACTTTGTGACCTGCCTGATATGCCACAGCCACTTGAGGTAAAGCAGTTCTATCTGTCTTCCGACTGGCAGTGCCCTTGTCTTGTCCTCTAACTTCATACAGCGCTGCTAAGATAACAGCATTCTTTCTGGTCATGAGCTCTTTGGACTTGTGCAGGGAAAACACACTTATTTTTAACCATGTGTTGCTCTTCAGCAAAATGTGATTAGGTAGGCTTGTTTTTACACATCTATTCTAAGAGCAGGTCATCAGATTATGGAGTTTCTGAAGAAACTTCACCTGCTCTGATGCCATCCTTTCACACAGTTCTGGGGAATTACCTTGCTTCATGTCAACTTAGATCCTCGGCCAGCTATTGCTGAAGACAGCATTAAATTTTCCATTGCTGGAAGTGCTCAGAGCAAAGCACCTTCTCTTCAAGATTAAATTTCTCCCTGGTATGATGTCCTCCCTTGGGAGTGACAAAATGAACCAGGTGAACCGCAGTATGACAGCTGGCCATTAAATCTCTTCAGAAGAGAGTCTTTAGAAAGGTGTCATGGGGGGGATATACTACTTTATTACAATTAATTTTATGTGAAATAAAAGGGTACAGTTCTGCATTTGCTCGCAATATGGCAAATGAGTAAGTGAGGAAAATTGTGAATCATGGCAAAGAACTTTTTTCTAATCTGGGAGCCATATGCTACATGGGATGTGAGTGTTCTGGGCAACCAGAGACATGCACAGAAGGTAAATCATACTGCTCTTACCAATGAGTAACTGGTACTGCCTTTCCTCTCTCTTTAGGTCTAGTGTCCTTAAATAAGGAAAACTCCTCAAAGGTACAAGGAGAGAAACAATGTTCTTAATGAAATTCCATAGTTATTTTAATTTCTGCCAATGAATTTTAAAATTACCTTGCATGCAAAACTGATGGACGTTCCCCCACAAAAATAAGAGTTGAGAGCCAAATACATATGCATTGCTGGGTGGTGTGTGTTATAAGCTCTTTGAGACTTGATTGCCTCAGAAGTTCTAATTCCCTTGGTGGTGGAAAAAGTGGTATTTGGAGCACTAACCTGCAATTGGAGACCAAATCAGTTGGAGCAGGAAAGGATGCTTGAGGAAGTTCCTCGTGAAAATCATTGGATAGTTAGTGTTGGAAGGGACTGTTAAAGGTCATGTAGTGCAAACCCCTTTCAGTGAGCAGGGAGGGACATCTTCAACCAGATCAGGATGCTTAGAGCCCCATCCAACCTGACCTTGCATATTTCCTGGGATGGGACATCCGGCCCCTCTCTGGGCAACCTGTCTTTCACCAACTGGTGTTTCACCACCCTCACAGTAAAAAAATTATCTTCTATATCTAGTCTGAACCTATCCACTTTATTTTAAAGCCCATACTTGTGACAGATCATGGTAAAAATTTTTTTCCCAGCTTTCTCATAGGCCCACTTTAAGCACTGACAGGCTGCAGTTCAGTGTCCCAAAAGTCTGCTCTTCTCAAGCCTCCACAAGCCCAATTCTCTAAGCCTTTCCTTATAGGAGAAGTGTTCCAGCCCTACAATAATTTCACAGTCATTCATGAGAAAGAATCACTTATCTTATTCTGCATAAAACAAATAAATAAATAGCAGTGATAGACTTGGTAATTACCTCAGCACCCTCCCAGAGCATTATCTGCTCAGCAAATTTCAGCCATCTAAAGATGGAAGCAGCTAACCTACAGTACAAGATGTCTAATTCCAAAGGAACTAACAAATAGGAAACATATAAATTCAATGGAAACTCTTTAATGCATAATTTCTCTGTGCCTACATCCACACACATCCACAGGATTCATAGTAGCCACCTGGAACAGAACGGAATGGAACCTTCTGGGCAAATCCAGATTTGCACCCTGCTTTCCCTGTAGTGCAGTAATGCTCAAATACCCTCTGATTTGTCAAGGGTTTTGCTGTGGTCTGTGAGTAATTCTTGGAGTTTGGCTCTGGATTCTAATTTCCCAGCAGTTAGGATTTGGTTCAGCGGTAGGACCAGGATCTGATTCAAGTTTATCTCTACTGCTAAATTGGCACAATTTATTTTTCCTGTTTTACTTGTTTCATTAAGCAGAGGAAAAATAATTCATTGTTTGAGAATATATCCCATAAGAAATTATGATGGTTTTTTTTTAAAAAACCCCAACAATATACACTTTTTATTTCTGTTGTTTTTTGCTCATAGTTTTAGTTTGAGTATGTGGCTATGATTGGTTACTTTACTTAATTCTATTAAGTTTTCCTTGATGGATAGAAGTCTTCATATGTTTTCATTCTACAGTTTGGATGAACCTCCCTTCTTGAATTAGATTTATGAAACTAGCACCTGTTACAAAATGTTTTGTCTCAGAATGTTTTATAATACTGAATTGAAATAATATTTTGTCAAATACTCTTTCCAACAAATTTATTTTCTAAATTTCTTATAAATTCTAAAGAAAGCTGGTCAAGTAAGAAAATACATAAGAGACAAGAGTTAAATTATTATTTAAAGGGGAATACAATGAGTTTATTTATAGCATTTAGTTGTATTGCCCATTTCTAGAAATCAGACATATGATGGTGACCAGATGCATCTAGGAACTAGAGAGATGAAGGACAACACAGTCATCAAATTATTAGAAAATGACCATGTGTAATTATCCAAACAAATTATTGTTTCCCCAAAATTTTACTGTCAACATAAGTAATTAGTTCTAATTTTAAGAAACTATTTTTCTTTTCTTTTTTTAATGATTCTTCAATTATCAGGGAACAGAAAGTATTTTAAAGAGTTGGAAGATTTGTGGAAATTACTTTCAGAGCAAATTCTGCACCTCTTACTATGAATTAGCACTGATATTGTTTATTAGATTACTGTACATAGTTGGAAAAACAACAAATACTTTAACATTTATGTTTTTAGGATTTTTTGCTCTATATTATGGGAAGAATCAGCTTGACTGGAAAGATGTAGTGTTGACAGTTTTTACTGGGATTTAAAAAAAAGGAAAACTTGTAGAGCAAATTACATTTTTCTGCATTTTTGCCACACTGAAATTTTGGGAAAAAACCCCCAAAACAGCAGTTCCACTAAGGATCTGATGTAAAAATCTACAAGTATGTCTTCAAAACAGGGATGTAATACTGTGAGCTTCCATGTCAGAGTAGATATTTCAGTGTTTAGTGGCAGCATTACAAGGTCCTTCAGTGTTTAATATATAAAATGTTCAATGTGCAAAGCTGATTTTACTGTTGAAACCACTGCAACCAGCTTCTGAAAATGGAAATTTGTCTAAGACATAGCGATAAAGGACAGTAACCAGTAAACAATATTTTAAAGACTGAAGTATTTGGGAAGTATTTCCAATGACAACTGGTCATTGAAATCAGGCTTGCTGTGAAGGACTAATTTTCTCCCTTTTTGCTACTTTACCAGCTTCGTGTGCCAATGTTAGGTATTCTTTCTCTTTGTTTGCAGGGTCAGCCTTTACAACATCTGATAACCTGTCCCTCAGTTCCTGGGTTTCTTCTTCAACCAGTTTCCCAGGATTTCAGCATCCACAGTCTCTGAGTGCCCTGGGTACCAGCACTGCATCCATAGCTACACCCATTCCTCATCCGATCCAAGGATCTCTGCCTCCGTACAGCCGCCTGGGAATGCCTCTGACACCCTCTGCCATAGCCAGCTCCATGCAAGGTAGCGGCCCCACCTTCCCATCCTTCCACATGCCAAGGTACCACCATTACTTTCAGCAGGGTCCTTATGCAGCTATCCAAGGACTGCGTCACTCCTCCGCAGTGATGACACCGTTTGTATGAGTGACGTACCGCAAGAGGAACACAAGATTTTAAACGTGCAAGTTTGCTATGACAAAATACAAGGGACCTTCCCAAAAGGCCTGTGGCAGGAGCGCTGAACTCATGACAAACCAGCTAAAAAAATGCATCGTGGATACAGATTCCTCTTTTGAGGGATCACAAGAAGAGGGCATGCAGCTTGGAGCTGCTCACAGATCTATGTGTAACACAGCCAAAATGGATCCCAAAGTCCCCAGGACCTTTGGTTGCGTGCAGCTTGTTCCAAAGGTGCATTATTCCTAGTGGAAAGAGATTATCTTTAAGCAGCAGTGTACAAACTAATTGTCTATAGGTCTTTTTTCATATGCTAGATGAATTCTAAAAAAGGCAATACTCTTACTCATCTTCATCTCTTCTTGTGACTGATGAGCATCTAAACAGAAAAATGTATTGCTATAACTTTGAGCATGTTTTAGGCTATCTCAGCACATTTGCTGAAAACAGGACAAAGTGGAGAAGACCACTGTCCTTTTTAAGACTGGCATATATTCACCAAAACCAGTATTTCTTAGTTGCTACTATAATCACAAAGAGAACGTTATTAACAAGTCTTTCTTTCTTTCTTTGTTTCTTTCACAAAACACTTATCGGTTCCAAAAAAAGAACTGTGTTACAGGACTGTAATAGTAATACTGTATTCTTTCCTTCTGTCTAAAAGGAAGTTGGTCCTAAATCTGAGGAGGAACAATTTAACTGTCGGTTAAGATATAATGAAGAAAAATTTTGATTTGGAAAAATCTGTTACTTAAAATTAGAAACCCAAGATTCCCAATTTTAAAGCAGTGCTTGTCTGCTGCTGTGTGTGCCACTGAAGACCTGTTTCCAGCTGCACACGTGTACCAAGTTAACCCAATTTCAGTCTAGATCACTCTATAGACTCTCTGGATCAAACTATAATTAATGGATTGGTATGAGTGGCATTGGAGTATCTTTCCACTTGTTCTGATTTTGTTGGGTTTGGTTATGGCTGTTATTACAAAAGGCATCAGCTTGGCCAGGAAAACCAGTTTTTTCATGTCCCGCTATAATGGTGGAGTTTCCTTGGAAAAATATCAGTACAGAACTTCACACAAAAGTCTTTTTTTTTTTATTCATGTCTGACTTTTTTTCAGTTAGTATTTGGGGCTCATTCAAAGTCCTGTCCCCTTTTCTAGTATGTTGTGTCTGATGCAATGGAGGAGCTATAGAGGCATAAGAAGATAATGACCTTGTCTGCAGAGAGCTAGCATGAATCCTTTGCACTACTGGAAACAGTACCAGTGTGATGTTGGTTTTCTGTGTGGCAAGAGCTGGGATTCCACTGTAAGTAATAAGTTGACGCAGTTTCTGTGTTGAGTTGCATCCAAGCTATAGACAATAATACATCTACTGACAAAAGAGAACTAGCAAATATGTAATCTCATATATTACAGATCTCTGTAGAGCTGGAACACAAAACAGACTTATTGTCCTCTGCTTTTCACCATTCTGTATTGGTGTCATGGTAAAAAGCAGAGTGCAGTACACTGAATCACCTACTCCCATCTCTGCAAAGTACAGGGCAAGGCATGTGCATCCCACAGAAAAAGACCACCATTATGTATTTTCTAGTAGCTGAATTAAAAATCTTCTCAAGCTGGCCATTTCAATCACCTTTTCAACCAAGTTTTCTGCAATATCACTCTAATTCCCATTAATCACTGTTGGACCTGCTGATGAAAACTGACCTGGGCCCATTTGCAACTCCTGTGCTCTGTGTGTAAATAAAAATGAAAATTTATTTACAATTCAGACCTGCTACAAGGAGTTCCATAAATTAATATAACAGGTCAAGCTCTGCAGTATTTAAATGGCTCAGAATCAGACACTGAATTTGTCTTGGTGTACCCAAATATTAGATTTTGTTGTAGTCTATCAGATTCATAGGAAAAGGGCATGTTGCAAGATTGTGCCTACTTATAACTGGTTTCCAGATGAACGCCCTATTTTTCAGGAAATTAAGTGATACTGAACCTACAAGAATGTAATTCTTCAAGTAAACATGGCTCTGCAGAAACAATAATTATAGAAGAGGTTTGGAAGAAAGTTTGCTCTTCAGTGTTTCACTTCTGTTAGAGTTGTACGAAGACCCTAGGATGCACTAAAGCCTGTGGGGAAATTCTGTTTCTTTTACCTGGTTCCTTCTGCAGCTTCATTAACTTATCTGGAGTTCAGGGAATACGGTTAGGTTCAGAACTCAAGCCAGTAATTTTACTGCTGATACTTCCATCAGGAAAGGGTCAAGTAAGTAGGCTACTTTTACATGACTCCAGAAACAAGTTTGAAACAGGTGGGCTGATTTAGGAATGGTCAACATGTGACATAAAGGCTGCTCATACATCACCTTCCTTCATGAACCAAATTCAGAGAACAAACTGCACAATCTTTTCAGCTCTGTCCCAGTCTCTGCTCTGAGAACACCAATATTTGGCATGCAGAAATGCCCCTTATACTGTTTCAGAGAAAATTCTCCAGGCTCTTTGTGGAGAATGAAACTGGATTTTGACAACTTACCAAAAAAAAATTAAATGAAAGAAAAGGGCTTTCCACTACAAATGAATTGTGATTCATATCTGAAATAACATGGCAGTAGGCTGTCTTGATACAAAAACATGATAAAGCCAAGGCCTCTTCCAAATTCTTTCTGATGAATTTTGTATTACAGATGATGCAGAATTGTCTGTCAAAACCCACAGCTTGATTTTTCCAGTCAGACCAAGTCTCTCTCAGTGGGCTCATCCCTCCTTGTGCTTCTCTCTGATGGTTTAATTCCTTTGCAGCAGAAACCCTTTGGGTTTCCCACTAATGCAGAATCACAGGCAGGTCCCAAGCAAGGGAATGAAGGCAGCTTGTGACAGGTTCCCCCAGGAATAAGATCAATAGGTATGTCCATTCCTCACTTCCTCTTCTTTGCCCTCACAGTCCTACCTACAAAACCTGTTGCAGAGATTTGAGGTTAAAGGGATTAAGTTCACACAGGCCATAGGATGTCCAGTGAAGAGGTCTTGCCACCTCAGCAGTGTTTCTGCTCCATGTCCCTCTCACCTTCCTGTAGGCCTGGGGAAGCATGGGAGTGATTCCAGGAATAAAATTTCTACCCTACTGAAGTCAAGTGGAAATTTATTGACTGTAATGGAAGCAGGATTTCATTCCACATTGTCATCTCAAAATAAAGTCTGGCAGTAGGAAGAGTGACTTAAATGACAGCAACAATATAGGAACAGTACGGGAAAGATTAAAACCCAAGTACAAATCAGTTTTAGCACTGAACTCACAACTGGAAGAAAATGAATGTGAATTTGTTATTAATTGGTTAAGGAGTGAAATCACTTTTGCTGAAAAAAAAAAAAAATTGTCTCCACTACTCCACCAGTTTGACAATAGCCCAGTAATTTATTTAGGGACTTGCCGTACTGCTGTCAAAATTGCATCATTTTCAGGACATAACATCTGTTGTTGGTAGATGGGCTAGGAATGCCAAATACAATCTAAAATTTATTTTCCAAATACAATTCACGTTTTATATCCCATGAGAAGTGCTCTTCACCTTTATGAGCTTTTTTCTTGGCTCAGAAAAATGGAGCTGGTTTATGTTGTTTGATTTTGTTTGGGGTTTTTTGGGGGGGGAGAGCTGTTTGCCTTTTTTTAAGAAGAGTGGAGAGAACATGCCTGAATATGCTTTTCAAAGAGAATGATAAGATTTTACTTGGAAGTGTTCCAAGTATTTTTGCGTTTTTCCTGTATTACCATTTTATCCATAGATTGTCAACACCCTCCAGTCTTTAATTCAACAAAAGCATCCCATATATTAACAAAACTGATTTGGATGTATTTGTCCGAATATTTTTTCTTCTACTTTTGGAGCCCTGAGAATCTAAACATAAACCCTCCCATTTTTAATTTATGTCTTTGGTTTGCAGCATTGCTTTGTGTGGCCTGAGGCACTGTCAAAGATAGCAAATCAATGCCACTGGGTTTCAGTCGTACTCTTCTGGGTGCAAACAGAACAACAAGCATAGACCAAGTAGATAAAGGTAGAGTTCCTAATGGAAATGCTTCCTCACGAGTCCAAGGATGATAAGTTGTGTGGTAGCTAACATGCTTGGTATCACAACCTTCAGAATGCAATTGCAGAATTTCTCCCAGACAGTTTTACCCATGGAGGCCGGGACACTGCATCAACATGTACACATGTAAGAAGATGTTGCCATTTCCAACATCCAGCAAACACTAACTGGCACTTGAAAAGGATCCTTTTTTAACTGAAAAGCATTTGGGCTGGCAACTTCATTATGTAGTACATCCTCTTTATATGTGTGTACTGTACAGAAACAGATGTATCAACAAAAACTTTTGCAAAACCTTGGGATAATTTCCAAAAGTGTAAGTCAATATAAATTGTGGTCATTTACTCCTAGATAAGGGTAAAAGCAATAGTGAGATCAGTGTAACACTTATGGCTTCTTGCCTTGAGGAAGTTGTGGCCACAGTACGTATACTCATCATCTGCAGGGGGATGAACACTCACTGCAAAATTAATTTTAATTTTAGTGAGATTTTATTCTCACTATTATTTACAGAGCATTTCTGCTGCAGGAGATGTGGTTTCTTTACTAACCACCTACTTACTGGCCAGAGGATTTATGTATTACTCTGTAATCAAATGTCCTTGCATATAATCTCTAGATTATCAGATGACAACTTCTTTTCTTTATTTTATCTTTTTAAGAAAAAACTAAGCAGTGAATTAAATAAGCTCTGAAGTAACTTTTTATGATAGTTTAAGGACAAAAAATACAGTTTGCTGTATTTTACCTTTAGCACATTTAAACAATCTTTTTCTTTTTAATTGTACCTTCAGAAACATGAGGAAAGATTTGGTTTAAAAACAAGGAAGGTAAAAAAACTGGATGTAGCCTCTTTAACAGAATGTACCACAGTTCTTCTGTTTGCTGTGTTGACTTTGTTGTTTATATTGCATTGCGTGAGCACATTCACCATGTACTGAAGTGTGTGTTTGTGTGTATGGGGTGGGGGTAGAGGGAAATCTTTTTATGGAAAAAAAAGTTGTGAACATAAACTATGAAGCAACATCTAATGAAAAGTTTCTTTTTAAGTGCAATATATTTATTTCTGCTAGAAATATAATATCAACATTATGTAATATTTGAAGCATTAAATGTTATTTGTAAACAGCTTAAAATTATATATATATCACAAAAACTGTACAGAAGTGCAAATGTGTGGATATTCAGTTTCTTTCATTAAAATATTGGGTGTTTTGATATATCATTCTTATTTAGCCAAATCTTTCTGCTTCTGTTTTTTTTTTCCTCTAACCAAGTTGCTGAGGGCAGTGGAACCAGTCACAGATGTTTCTGATAGTACACAAAATTTGCTAGGGCTGCTCATCTACAAAAGGTGGTCTAAGTCTTAGATTCATATGGAGTGATAGTTGTACTGTAGTTAAATACAATTGTAGTTTGCACGGAGTTACACAAATAATTTCGTTTTCAAAATGCTTTGCAATCATATTCATAAAGACTCCTAGGTTTGCCAGCAGAACTCAAATAAATGGCTGAAATATGGGTTTTTCAGGGTCCCCAAGACAGTAAATACAGACCTGGGAAACACAGTATAAGAAAAGGGTGGAATTAGCTCTGTTAAGTCAGGAGAAGTGAAGAATGAAAAGAAGTGAGGAGTAAATTCCTCTCCATAAATGCTGCAGGCTATTTATTTAAAAGGATTTTATTTCAATTATAATGGCATATATTAAAGCAAGAGAGAGTTACCTGAGACTTTATCTAAGGTATTCAAAGAGGAAAGATAGTGACACACAGTACAGGATTACCTAGAGAGTATAAGGAGCAATACCTATCATTCAGGGTCTTTTAGAACAGGTTGAGCATGCACTACTCAAGAATGATGTGATTAAAGCTAATCTTGCCTTAGGACAATCAGATGATCTCTTGAGGTGCTTCCAAGCTTCCTGTAAGAGCCATCCCTTAAAGCAGCCTCTGACAAAATCCTCACGTTGCTCCAAAAGTTTTTGTTATGCACCCATAGTTTATCTTGTTCCCAAATTGAGATCAGCTGCTGGGTGTTTTGCAACTAGGTCACAAGATCCCTGGTTTGCAAAGAAGCTCTATGGGATGGAAGAGCTGTGAGGTTCCAAGGAACAGTAGCAGCAGCATCGTCTTGGTTTGTGAATGTAAGCAAGGAGATAAGAGCCTCAGGCAATTCAAATCTACCTTGAACTATGCTAAATTGCAGCCATGTATTAATGTATCTCACTAACATTTGGAATGTATGAAAATCAGGATAGATCGCTGAGTTGGTAACTCTGTATGATGCCTTTTGTCTCTGCATTATATTTTTATGGCATCTTGGTAGCAAAACACGTGTATTCTCTCATGGATATTCAATGCTGTGAAAGTCTTTTGCTTAACCTCAGGCTAAGGGGGCTTTCTTGATTACAAGTGACACCAAGCACGTGCACTGGCACTTTCCTGAATCAGAACTATTGGCTGTACACTGGCTCAAGGCATGGCTATGCCAATGGTCCCATTGAAATCAGCAGCCTTGCTTGCATGAAGTTAAATCAGTGCTCAAGCATTGCAGTGGCTCTGCAACAGCAAAACTCCTCGTGCTTTGCAGAACCAAGACCTTTGGGAACAAGCTGTCTGTGCAACACCTCTATAACTGGAGCCTTTATTTGCAATTTTCCAAAGAGAAACTGGGGGATCAAACAAAATGAAGATTCTGAACTGTCTCCCAGTAGGGTTACTTTGAAGAGACTGATGAGTAGTCATGATGACTGTAGGCTGCCTTGTGTATCACATTTAGAAAACAGATTTATATCCAAATTATCTATCTTGGAGATAAGCAGTGCAGAAAACAAATTATTTGGAGAATGCTATTTTTCTAAACTTCCTGTGCAGGAGCACAATGAATCCATGATTTAATGGTATACTTGAAATACAGAGCAGTAACCAATATTTTGAATCACAATCATTTCAAATACACATAAAATATTAAGATTATACACCAACAATTCAATATATACAAACTAACAATAATCACTAATAATAACTCTAAAAAATGAACTGACAGTGGTCTAATGTTCAAGATCTTTATTAAAGTTAGTCATTGATGTCAGGGTTGGTCAATGAGGCTCTAGGAACCTTTGCAGGCAGTATAGAAGCTGGTCCTTGTTCTCCAGAGTAGTAACCTGAGGAACCAAAAAAAAAATCTATGGGGATGTCTATCAGACCTGGTCCTTGTTCTCCAGAGTAATAACCAGAGGAACCAAGAAAAATCTATGGGGATGCCTATCAGAAAAGTTGGGCAGAGAGGTTTTTTTGAAGAGTGGGATAATAATTTGTCCCAATGCAAAGAGTATTAGATATATTACCATTGTAGCATGGTAATCTACACGGTAATACTCTGTTAATATAAAATATGATTTGACAATCAGACACATAAAAACCCAGTATTTTTAAGGCTTTTTAGGATGGAAAATAGGTCTATTCCAGGAAATGCATTGACTAACCAATGTGATAAATTAAAATCAAGCAGCCATTCTCAAGCAACAATTTTTGCCTCTTGTTTGACTTTGAATTGTTGTTATTTCCATTGTGAAGCCTACCAGGAATATATGCAGTAATTTGGAGTGGTTTAGGGTGTTGTGTTCTAGAGAATCTCCTGGGTGTGAGTCATGTTTTCACAAACTCCATGAGCATCTCTTTCAAAGGTTTGTGTTCTCCAGTGTTTGGGGAAGGGTAGTTGCAGAAATGGTTGGGAACTGAATGGTTGTCCTTCAGCTAGCTCTTTGCCTCTTTAAATTACCAACAATTGCAGAATAGCTCAAAGAGTAAGATGAATTTAAAAAGGGAAAATGCTTGCAGCTGAATCTGTAATTGATGATATTTGGAACAAATAATCCCTCAAAAGGTGGAGGTGATAACAGTTCCTTGAACAGCTGTGGCTCTTCTCTATTTAGATGCTTAATTTTGGTCAGCTGTTCTGAGAGAGTCAGAGAAGAAACAAAGTATATACCAAAAAAACTGTGTCAGAAGTCACCAATACAATTTAATTCTTTTCACATCATTTAAAATGCCCTAAGACAGAGACACAGGTAAAAAGCACAAAAATCATTCTAGACTTTGTCACCTCAAACTAGAATGATTTCTGTGCTTTTTACCAGTGTCTCTGTCTTAAGGTGTCTTAAATGATGTGAAAGGAATTATATGGAATTGGTGAGGTTCATGCTGTCATCCCTTCTAGTCTGCACCTGTCTTCCAGTCAGCTCCTAGGGACAATGCATACACAATTTTAAGTATAAATACTAAATCATTTAGGTATTTGGTGTCATCAGAAACAACCCTCTCTTTGAGCTCTCGCAGAGGTGGAGAAAATTGTGATGCTTAAACTGGCAGTCTGTGCTTCATAGGGGTCACTGAAAATGGACTGCTTTCAATCAGGGTCTTTTCTATTGAAAATCCCATTTGATTTTCTGAAAAAAGAACTCTATGGTGTTCACTGGTCTTCACTCTGGTGTAAAAGTCGAGTGTGGGAGAGCAGTTTCTGTTTCTCTTAAATACATGGTTGATACATCATCACAAATCAATTATTATTTCTTCCTGTGTTCTCTCATGGATTGATCCCAAGGCAGCCAAAGGAGGAATTACTTTTTATCTTTATGCAAATTGTTGGCTGTAAGATTTGCATTGATAATATCTGAACATGTACCGAGGGCTTTGGAATGTCAGGCTTCAATTACCTTCCCTCTGAATGTCATAGCTTTCCAACTTGAGACACCAGTCATACAACTCATCTCCAATGATATTACAAATAAGTTAGTTGTACTCAGGGGATTTATCAGCCTGACTTTATTTAATCTCTTCATTTTCAGTTAACATAGTCACCTCAAACAGTGCATTTCCAGAAGATTATTAGATTGTTTCAGATGGTTAAAGACTTTGGCCTTCCTTGCTCCTTCATTTTACAATTCACTAGGAATTTTTGACTGAACATATAAAAGTCTAACACTTGTGCTCCCATCATTTCCTTTACAAGGCTTTAAATATCTCTGAGTTCTTAAATGAATTAGTATGTGTTGTAGAGCCTATCTAGCACTTAAGACAACTTGGCATGGTTTGCAGTAGTTCTGGACAGACAACTCACTTGTGCTCTCAGTCACAGAAAATGTTTTCTTGCCTATATAGCTGATGAGGGCAAAGACTAACAAGGAATATTATAGGCTGAAATTTCAAAGCCATTATAAAGGTAGATGCACAGCTCACACTAATTTTAGAAAGACTTGTGTTTCTGAGTCCTATACAGAAAGTATTTTCTATAGTGTTTGTTATTTTAGAAGGTCTATGGTTTTTTTCAGAGACCAGCCTAAACATTTTAACATTTGTTCCTGAATTATTTTAAAGCCTCTTTTGCTCCATGCCATAATATCATGCCTTTGTTCTTCTGTTCTTTCAACCTTGGCCAAACTGTTAGAGAACACATGGATACTTCCTTTCCATTTGCTAATTCAATAATAAGAGAACTCATGTGAACTGAAGAGGTTAATTTACGTTTTTCTTTGTGGAGTTTTGGATGTGGTTGTTTTTGGTTTTTTTGGGGGCGGATCCTCTTCCTCAGAGCTTAGTTCTTTTTTACTTCGCTTATAGAAGAATAGCCTATATATTTATCACAAAGGCAGAGTTGCCATCATGACAATATACCCAAAATTGAATTTTGCTGTCCAAAATTTGAGGCATAAGCTTGAGCTGTCTTGACGTAAAAGAAATCAGAATGTAAAATGACACTGAGAGGCATCAGATCAGCACGCTTTTACCACTGCCAGGAACTCCCACCCTGCTCCTGAGCAGCTGCTGCCATTCTGCATGCAAAATTTCCCCAAGAGGAAAAGCAAAATGTTTTCCTCCTCAGGGCTTTGGTATAGGCAGCAAAGGAGGCATCAGGTTTGGGACTGGTTCATCCCCACCTTGCCCACAAACACATAAACATGCAGAGTATTTGATGCTGAGGAAGTGCCTCGTCAGCTTGTGCCTAGAGCCACTCAAGGCTGTGGATTCCCCAAGTGATCTAAGAGCCCAGAGCCTAAGATCTGCAATGTACGAGTCTCTCTTTCACACACACAAAAACTTATGGCTTAGAATATTTTTAACACTTGCATTATTCTGGAAATATGAATCCGCAGTGCAGCTGCGACGAGATGGACGTTTTCACCAGAATGGACACACTGGAAAATCCAGAAA